CAAAATCCTCTACCCAAGACTGGTGACACTGTACTCACGAACTGCTAAGAATACTACATACAAACGTCTGAAAGAGAGCATAAACTGTTTGTCTCGAATACAATGAGATAACAGATAAAAATAAAGGATAGAGGTGACGCCGGGCCTGCGGACGCCTGCAAGACTACCTCGGGTCTCGCTGAAATGAAGCCTGCTCCCACCCTACTGCTGCTGCTGCTCGAAACCTGGATCTCAACTTCCACGGCCAAATCAATCTATAACAACCGCTTTCCCTCTCGAATTCGGCTCCAACTCAATCAAATCCAAGAAGTTTTGGTGAAAGGGAGCTTCAATGGACGCTTAGAAACCTTGGAGAAGAAGGAGTTCGTATGTTTTTATGAAAAATTCGCGACTACACTGTTTCTGAAAATTAAATATAACTGGGCAAAATTTGCCCTCCGCGTTTGCGGAAAGAGAGTCGCGTTCACGAAAGGTTGACTCAACAGAACATCGCGTTCGCGATGGGGGAGGACGCGAACGCGAAGAGAAAAGGCTGGGGGGTCCAGGATTTGGTCTACGCGAACGCGTGGACACTTACGCGAACGGGTTGAAGGGAGCCCTATAAACTACGTGAACGCGAGGCTATAGATGCGAACGCGATGAGTAAAATGGAGGCTAAGTCTTCGGGGTCAAAAGACTCTACGCGAACGCGAGTCAGTAGTGCGAACGCGATGAAGGGAAAAATCATAGCTTCGCGAACGGGAAGAAGGAACTGGGTCTGCAACAGCTGAAGAATTTCTGCAACTTTCCTAAGTTTGAAACCACCCCGAAATACCTCCGAAACACTCCCGAGCCCTCGGGGCTCCTAACCAAACACACACACTAACTCAACAACATCCTACGAACTTAACCGTGCGATCAAATTGCCAAAATGACATCAAAAACAATGAATCAAACCTCAAAATCACTAGTTTTTCCTCAAACTTCATTTCAAATTTAGAGTTTTAAGTCCGAAACACGTCAAACGACGTCCGTTTTCAACCGAACTTTACAGGAAGCGCTTAAACCATATATAAGACTTGTACTGGGCGCCGGAACCAAAATACGGGCCCGATACCATAGTCTTTTAATCAAATCTCATTTCTAATTTCCTTAATTATTTCCAGAAAATAATTTCACATAAAAATTCATTTCTCGGGCTTGGGACCTCGGAATTCGATTCCGGGCATAAGCCCAAGTCCCCTATTTTCCTACGGACCCTCCGGGACCGTAAAATCACGGGTCCGGATCCGTTTGCCCAAAATGTTGACCGAAGTCAAATTTAATCAATTAAATATCAAAATTTAGCATTTTTCTCACAGAATTCATATTTAAGCTTTCCGGCTACGCGCCCGGACTGCGCACGCAAATCAAGGCAACCCTAAATAAGATTTTCAAGGCCTCGAAAGCACGGAATGAGTAAGAAAACAGGTGATGACCCTTTGGGTCGTCACACCAATCATCATTTTAGTGGAGGTGATTATTTTAAGTAACTTCTGATAATTATTTGTATTATTTACGAAATATTAATTAATCCACAACAAACAACTCTTATAGTTTAGAATCTGCCAAACTGATCTATAGATTGTTTTCTTATATTTATTTTCTTTTACTTTTTGCTTGAATTTAATAATTAAAAGAAAATGATGGTTGCCGTAAGAAGAAACTAACCTATGTATACTAATCAAGATAAAATTATCATTTAGCTATTTATTTAATATTTAAGACTTTAAAATCAACTAAAACTTTGCATATTTAATATTTTCTTATTTGAATTATTTTGGAAGTTCTATTATTTAGAACTTTTTTAAAAAATCAATTAAAATACAATATATAAATTATTTTCTTATTTGACCACCTTTTATATCTAATAAAAAATAAATTAAGCTACAAGCATATTATGTAAACTTGTGACTACAATTAGTATTTAAATTTTCGATAAATATAATAGGAACTTTCAGATAACGATAATTTTTGTCATTTTGTTCTCTTATAATATTGAAAAAAGTTCCTAATCAGTGTGAACTCTTAAAATTTCAAGGCCATCTATTGGTAGATTCCGTCTAGGATTGCTAAAGATGGTAAAAATGAGATTTAGACTTTAATGAAAAGAATCCAGGCAAACTTTCTATACAAAAAAGGTCCAGTTAAATTAACTATACTTTTGATAAATTATGTATGACAAAAAAGATTTTTATGCACTTAAGTTACAAAAAACAAATTCAATCACTATGTTGAAAACACATCTATAAATATCAAAGATTTAAAAAAAGATAGCTAACAGAAGAATCCCAAAAAAGAAGAAGAAAGAAAGAAAAAACAGAGCACGTTTCTTATTTTACCAATCACTTTTGCAATACTTGGAAAAGTTAAGTTGTTTATGAAAAGTAGTTCAACTTCCTTTTTCTACCTAAACTATTTATTTTTGAATCTTGACAAATTAAGATTAGATTTTATTTTTTATATTCCAGGAGAATACAAATTATTTCCTCATAATTAGAACTAAGCAAAAAGTTATTTATTGATTCCTTCCAAGATAACTATACAAAAAGTTTTGTACGCCATGTATTACTATACAACTAATTTGACTAAATTGATCATCATGTTCAAAAGAATTGAATTTAGCAATCGTGTTAATGTAGTAACATTTTTTCCATCATTTAAATAGAAATTTGCATTTATTTTAACATCAACTGTTATTTTTCAAAATTTATTCTTTCGTATATATATTTTTTTATTGACGTAATATACACGCGCAACGCGCGTACACTAAGACTAGTACTAAAAATAAAAATACAACCAATTATGAAATTAAATAATTCTAAATTTTATCACAGAATTATTGCCCCTTATCTCATGAACCAAAGGAGTCCTTATATTATTTGAAAAGGCATACTTTTATGTGCTTACTTATGTCTGTGGTGAGTAAATTAATGAGATCCAGTCTTTTATTCTTTGCATTATAGGTATTGTTCTTTGCAAAAGTACACATAGGTTACAGTGTGATCTTTCCCGTTTAATATTGCACATAACGGCGCTCGCGTTAGGTGATCCTACGTTTAACTAAAAACTTTTGATATGGCGTCTCAAGAACATTAGAAAAGAAAGCTCCTGGAGTTTACAGTTCACTCATCACTTCAATAGCGAAACATAGATCATTTAGTTTGATTAATAACTAATACTGGTACTAGCGATTTCATAGTTCACACAAAAAATGAGTATTTAGAAGGAAAAAAAACGCCTCACCAAAATCATTTGTCCTATCAGCATATCTCTACCCTTTCACATAACTCAGGTGAAGTCTGCTCTCTTGTACGGTCAAACCTCTTTATAACAACCTCATTTGTTCCGAATATTTTTGGATGTTATTGCGAAGTGCTGTTATATAGAACGTATATTATAACATAACATGAAAAGTGATTCCGAAAAAGCTTGACTTTTATAGTGAAGTGTTGTTATATAGGGAAGATGTTATAGAGAGGTCTGACTGTAATCAAAACCGAACGTAAGAATTTACGGCAAGTGAGACAGCTGATTGAATAACTTATTGTGATTCATTACGTGGAACTATTAAACTACAGCAACAGCAACTAAGTTTGGTTGATTGCTTTGCACAAAATATGATCTTTTCTCATCTAGTAACTGAAGAATAGACACTGACAGGACGGGGGTCGGCTGCTTCTTTCGACAACCTAAGGTACACTTGCGGATGAATAAATAATAACAGTACGAGCTTCATTTTTTTAAACAAGGAAATCTGCATCTGTAAGTTCTAGCACTTTGTGCAAGCCAATTGGTTTTACACCAGGCCTGAACGCGTTTTCTTCAATGTACCTATGACAATAATTTAACATGTTAGTATTTGCACAAACCCAAAATTTGTTGCTCAGTAGAAAGAATGAACACTCACATTTCTTTCAAGAAAGGGTGCTTGTAGAAGGCATCAGGAATTCTCCCAGAAAATTGATTGTGATCGAGATACCTGAAATCAGATTCAGCTTCAGACATGTTCGACAAGATGTCCAGTCATTCACATGCAGACATCAATATCAAATGCATGCAGAACTATGTTTTCTTTTACTTCTTTTGGACAAGATCTAACAGTATACAATCAAGAAGAGCAAAGAGTGATCTATACCACCAGAATTGTCAAGGGAAGAACAAAAAAATAAATAAAAGGGAAAAAAAAACACGTGCACACACAACTGCAAGGACCATTTGGGCTTTAATGCAAGGCATAATTCAAGTTCTCCCTTTACTGAATAGGTGCAAATAAGAAAAATATAATATAGATAATGCATGAAAAAAAAGAACTATAAACACAAACAACAATTATATGGGTAGAGGAACAATTAAAATAAATAAAGCAAAAACCATGCCATTGGTTAAGAACAATCTTAAATTTCAGATTCAAAAATCAAACATCCAGCTTTAAAATTCTAATTCAGACTTATGCTAGCTCTCTTACATTAGATTTACAGTTTCGTATTCCCAATCACTAATATATTCATCAGTAATCCCTCGTAAAAAGTTGACATATCATTTTCCTATTTATTGAATGTTTCTTGTTCAGTGCAACCCTATCCAGAGTACATACATGGGCCTCACAAATTAGCCTAATATTTTCAGAAAAGCAGTTGGTTGGCTGGTTTTGCGAAAGCGCATCCTTTACCACCTTCATTGGAGCAACTTGTGCGGAGCCTTAGTTCATAGCTCAAGGATCAACTCGACAACACTAACAACCATTTTTCAATGAAACAAGGCCCAAGTTTAAGTTTGTATGCTTTAGTTGGTTTATAAGAAAGGATCTTACACAGTATCAAACATTTCAGATCCAGAAGACTGGAAGATGAAACATTCAGTAGATTAGCCAACAAAAAAGAAACCTCTACCACCAACAGTTTGAAGGAAAACCTTGTGATAAAAGGCTTTCCATCCGGAACTATATGGGTTAAGCTTCAAAGACAGTGTTTTCCCTTTCTGGTATACCCTTTCCCACTGGAGAGAGGTAAGAAAAAGAGAGTTAATTTTGGACATCTAACAGATAATTGCAGCAGCAATCACAATGTATTGCCCCAATAAAGGCCCAGAAACAGAAGGTGGTCAACAAAATGTGTTGCAAGCTATAAATGTTGAGTCAAATTTACAAGTAACATGCCTAAGCAACCTGATGCATGGGCAAAAAGAGAAAGTCATAGTGTTGCATCTGACATTGTGTTATGACTTAATGGCAACAAAGAATATACACGTTCGGCGATGCATGGGGATGTATAAGAAGTCAAAGTACCACGGCTGACGTTTTATTAAAAAAAATCAGAGCTGGACAACAGAAGTTCTGCTGTCCAAACATGACATATCTTGAACACCAAAGGATACCTATCTGACACAAGTACACTGTCTCTTAACATTCTTTGCTTTGTTTGACCACCTAAATGCAGGTCCTCCCCATATTCTCCCAGCCTCTCACTAGCGTAAAAACAATGAGTTCTAAATTGGGGGTTGAAGGGGAATGTAAGTACTGAAAGAACATGAATTTCTGAAGAAAGAAAAAAATGGGTAGGAAATGCAATAGTTATTGACAATCAGGTGCAAGGACGGCTATGCCTATACATTTGCATGTTTGAATGTTCACTTTTTCTGAATTATATGCTAATCAAGTTTTTTTAACATGTTATACCAATCAGTAATTACTATTTTTAACAAACAATATATCTATAATTACAGTTTAACAAGTTACCACTGCGTCTCTGTGTTGTGTGTTGCTGCTATATAGCTCAACTTGAGTATATGAGAAGTCTTACTATTAAATGGTTTGTCTTTTTGGTGCTAAAGTTTAGAACCTACAAGGATGAGAACACTCTTACTGTCTTACATCCGATTTCTTCAGTCAGTTGCTATAAAATATTACTTGTCCAAGGAAATCATCAAGGATAAGGTCCAATAATCAGTAATTACTATTTTTAACAAACAATATATCTATAATTACAGTTTAACAAGTTACCACTGCGTCTCTGTGTTGTGTGTTGCTGCTATATAGCTCAACTTGAGTATATGAGAAGTCTTACTATTAAATGGTTTGTCTTTTTGGTGCTAAAGTTTAGAACCTACAAGGATGAGAACACTCTTACTGTCTTACATCCGATTTCTTCAGTCAGTTGCTATAAAATATTACTTGTCCGAGGAAATCATCAAGGATAAGGTCCAATAAGGCCACCCAACAAGCTCCAAGTGCATCTACTAATGTTTTTTCCAATTGTCACAGCATCCGTAAGTTGGACAATCTTCAAAATTTATCTCCTTAAGAAAGAAAGGAAGAAAGACCTTGCAAGACCACATTAACCAACTAACCCCAAGTGTATCAACTAATGCTATTGTTAAAGCATCTTAAATTGAACAGTTCTCAAACTTCAGCTCTTTAAGAAAGATAGATCCTTGAAAGACTGCAATCATTAGACAATCATTGGGACATCACATCCAACATGCTTAATAAGTAGATTAAAGCATAGAGGAAGACTTACAAGTAAGTTAACTTAGGAATATGAGCAATGCTATATGGTATAACTCCTGTCATCTTGTTGTAAGAAAGATATCTGTAATTACCAGAGGAATTAAATTAAGCATGACCATATCATTAAATATTACAGGATAAAATTAGCTGTTATTTGTCCAGAGACAAGCACCAATCATGGAGAAACTTTCTTCTTGAAACTTACAAGATCTCCAAGTTCGTCAAATTCGCAAGTTGTGCTGGAATGCCTCCAGTAAGATAATTATTATTTAAGTAACTGCAAGTTACAGCACGTGTAAAGTCCTGGGATTAGCATATAATCAATAACATTAGCGGCAGGATATTTACAAGTGGTTTGACATTTAAACAAGAAGAATCAACTTACAGGTTGCGGAGAACCGGAAAGCATCCTTCAATACGTATGAGTTCTCTTATAGTACCAACCAAACGATTGTTACCAACATCCCTGCAATTGCATTAGATCACAGTGACATCCATGTATAACACAGGTTCCATATGCAAAAGTACAGAAAGAAGTTAACATGGTGTCTTACAGGTGGCGAAGATGCTGTAAGGTACCCAATTCCGGTGGAATTCGCCCAGTAAAATGATTTTCATGCAGATGGAGATAGCGAAGTTCAGGAAGATTAGCAAGCTCCTTAGGAACTTCGCCTTTGAAATTATTAAAACTTAGATAGCTGAAAAGATGCATATTAGTTGTTAGTCTACAATAGCAAAATAGATCTGCAAATAAAGAGCACAGCTAGAGAAGCTCAAAAGCACTCACAGATGTGTTAGCTGCTTTAGTTCTCCTATTTCAGGTGGAATGACATCTTGCAGCTTATTCCACCTTACATTTCTGCGAAATAGAATCAAGAAAAGGAAAAAATCAATGTGCATCATTATCACACACTGGGAAACTAGAATATACCAAATAGTTTCACCAAATGTTGGGCTAGAAAGCAATAAAATAAATAACAGATTTAGCAACATTCTTGGACACATTGGAGGTTCCTGCGGACAAAAAAAACTAAAGGTAGGATAAATGCAACAGAAAGTAGATGTTGAGACATACATTTAATACGATTCCAAGAAGAAAAAAAGGGCCTTCTTAGTTAAGTGTTATTTCCTTGATGATACACCTACCCTATATATTCCTCAGTTGAGAATATATATCTTCTCTGATACAGATTATATCAGGCAAGGTCCTTCCCACCCCCTTTTTAGATTAATCAGGCAGACCTTTCCTTGCCAAGATAAAAGCATTTCATCTTGATGCAAATGCCATGTATATAATCACTTAGTAAAACACAGTTGAATTGTATTAACACCACCTAGCACCAACGGATAAACATATGTTGATCTAGAGACTGGAGAATCAGGCTATTGAGAGACAGAGCATAACTCTATACATTAATATCAGTTCATAACAGCTACCAGATATAGATACTTAAATAGGAATATACGAGTAAGTAAAAGATCGTACAGTATTTTAAGACGCTTCAAACGCCCAATTTGAGGAGGAAGAGGGCCAGTCAGCTTGTTATTATGCAGATCCCTGCCATATAACAGAATATTAGGATTAATAAATTTAGAATGAAAATTAAATATCCAGCAGTACAGACGCAATGTCCACTAACTATTGCCTTAAATAGTATCAAATTGGAAAAACTGTCAATGCACATAATAGTTAATAACCAAGCTAAACAATTTTGAAGCTGGTTTAATGAGCAATTGTAATTAGAATTTAGAGGGTATAAAAACATCCAAATTGGAACTTTAGGGCAATTTCTCAGTTTGGATGAGGTTAAACCGTCTTTAAGAAGTAGCTAAATCTTTGTAGAAGCTAGATTCTAGTACAGAGCCAAAGAGAAGTATCTTACAGTTTAGTGAGATCCAATAAGTTAGTGACAGCAGTAGGAAATGGGCCAACAATTGAAACAGCATAAACCTCCCTGCAAGTGGTAAAACGGAAAAGAAAAATGTGAAAAAGTGGGGAGAAAAGGATATTTCAATTCTATGAGTAAATTTATATAGATTTGAACCTCAGAAAAGAGAAAAAATTGTGAATATTCATACAAGAGCTACATAAAAACTACTAAAAATTGGTGAGGCAACACTTACAATTCGGTAACTACTCTATAATCACCCTGTGTGGAACATGTAACACCAGACCATGGAGGTAAATCACCATCTCCACAAGGATCATCTCCAACCCATGCATACACCACTCTCCATCCAAGAGATGCCTTAATTTCATTCAAAGCTTTCACTACAGTCATATTTCAGAAGTTTAAATTAGTCCACTGTAAAAATGTACATTCAGGTACTATGACAACTCCTTGGTTTTTTCATTGAATGCAATCAACGGCCTTACTCAAGCTGTTTAAATCTTCTTGATGAAAACATTAACAGAGAAATAGTGATTACAGTTGAAACTCTGTGGAGTTCACAACAAGACTAAGAGCAGAGCACAAAGCTTTTAACTTTGTGGTCATGGGCTCAACCGCTCAAGCCCAGAGTAGGCGTTCTTATTTGATGGCAACCATAAGAATATTCATGATTGATTATGCACTTATAGTACAATTTAAGTAATTAATACTATGTAATCATGGAGTTGTATTTAATAGGCATTTATTAGATGATTAATTGGTTTTAACTTTCTGAAGACAGCTATGCTTACCTGTAATAACTAGAATATCAAAATTCTACGAGTAAATACGAAAAAAGAGAAAAGATTATTGCTAGTGAAACTCCAAGGAATTCATCTAGTTTATTAGAAATAATAGATAACACATTTTGCATATCATGATTATACACCAGATGAATAGCTATTTCTCAAAAAAATCAACTAACTGCAAAGCTTAAATTATTAAACCAATCATATAGACATTCAGAAAAAGGAAATTAAAGAAAAGATGAAAACACAGTAAGTTGCAATGAGAAACCGCATACAATCTTTCACTGAAACTATATAAACTTGGAAACTGCATAAAATCTATACATCCAATTATTTTTCCTCAAATTGTAAACATGCACTTAGAAACTGCAGCTAATGTATAGAATCCAACTGTTTTCGCTCAAACTATAAACTTGCACTTAGAATTTCATTTAATCTATAAAATCCAATCATCTCCACTGAGCTATACACCCGCACATAGAAACTGCAAATTCTATATAATCCAATTATTTCGACTCAAACTATAAACTTGCACTTCGAAACTGGATAAGATCCAAAAAGTTCAATAACTTCAACTCGTACTATAAACTTACTTTAGAAACTACACAAAATCCACAAAATTCATTTACTTCCACTCAAAAGCTTGCACTTAGAAATTTCATAAAATCTAAAAAGTACAACTATTTTCGCTGAAACTATAAGATTTCACTAGAAACTGCATATATTCTATATAAAATCCAACTATTTTCACTCAAATTAACTTATTTTCTCACTCAAAGGAAAATGGATAGCTGAAACTGAAGCTATGAGATCTCACTACAAACTGCATATAATCTACAAAATTCTAACTATTTTTCACTCAAATTAACTGATATTTTCACCTAAAAGCTAAGAATTAGGCGTAAAAGGAAATGGATCGAAGTGAGGGGGGAACAGTAGAGTACCGTCACGCTTGAGGGTTTTACACTGAACAACAACGCTTTGAATCAAGGATAACGAGAAGATCAGGAGAATTGCTGAAGGTAGATGACTAATGCGAGCCATTTTGAATAGGTAATCGATCACCTTCGGCCGAGTCGAATTTGAATCCTCAGAATCCGCTAGAGCTATACGTACATTATGTAGAGTATAGAGAGGTTGAGAGAGATCAATGAAGTGAGGAAGATCTGTATGTGAAAAAGAGAGATAAAATGAATCTTCAGTTTGGGATTTATCTCAAATAGTTTTTTAGAACAACGCGCAAAATAGCCTGCACTGCGCGTCGGTGGATTTCCGCCCTCCTTTTAACAAAAATAAAACGAATTAAACAAACGCTATTCTCTTTTTAAAAAAAATCCTGAAAATTATTTGTGTTTTCCTGTTTGGTGCTATATCATTTGGGTAGCTGATATTCTAATAGTAGCAAACTAGCAATTAGCATCATGGATTTCTGATAAAGGCTATTCAAAAAAAGAGAAATTTTTAGAAATCATTATGTTTTAGTGATTAATAGTTTGCTATAGCTATCATTTACTAAATTACTTCCTATAGTTATGCTTTCAGTTGTTATAGACTATATTCAATTTATTTTTACTACTGTATTCATGAATACAGTAACAAAACTCGGCGGAAAACAGGGGAGTCCAGCTAAGCAGAGAATGTATTCGACTGTATTCGCAAGCTGTATTCGTGAATACAGTAACGGAATTTGCGAAAAAAAAGGTCTTCACCTGTTTAAAAACGGTAAGTGAATCAATTAACACAATAGACTCCTAATATAACTCAATTATAACACACAAAATTTGTATTTCCAGTTATAGAAAAGATTCTCAACCGAAAAACACCCCAAAAACAGAGCAATCTTCAGAGATTCAATCCGTCCTTTCTTTTTTAGTGGTATCTTTACTAAAATATTTTTTAGTGGTATCTTTACAAATAGATTTATATATTGAAATTATATAATTGCATTGAATACAGTTAAATACATAAATATACATTGTATACATGAAGTATAGCAGGTTATCTGTAGTGCAAAAATATATGAATACATACTGCAGATACATTTGAATACATATATACATCTGAATACATAAATTATATTAAATAAAAAATATATGAATACATTCATGGAATACAGCGAGACAGTGAGTACAATGAAATATATGGAATACAACGAGATACATTGAAATATAATTAAAAAAAAAGACAGTGAATACAATAAAATACATGGAATACAACAATATACATTGAAATACAATGAAAAAAAAGGTAACAGACTCTTCAAGGCAAAGCAGCTACTTCTTTTTTTTCCTTTTGCCGTTTTATTTTCTCATTCCTTCACCTTGTAGAAATCTTCTTCTTATAATCTTGTAGAATGAGTTTGAATTAGTTGGACCGTGAATTTTGAATAACGAGTAGATAAGCAAAAAAATCACTTCTCTACTTTCCATTCAAAATAGCGTGAAAGATGTTGGGTCTTAGAGTTTTTCAACTTCAACTATTTTAGATCGTCACGTTTGGATACCAAATGGTTCTAATGTAATCATCACTTCAGAAAAATAAGAAGGTATCGTCGGCCGGAGGAGGGGGTTAGGAGTGACACAACAAGGAAGGGGAGAAGTGGTCGCCGGCCGAATCCGTCGTTGGGGGAACACAGCCCCTGCTAGGGTTTCTAAAAGCAGGGGAGGAAAAAACTAAGGGTGTTAAACGGGTGGGCCGGGCTGGGTTGGGATTTTTTGGACCCGTACGGGTTGCCGTCCGGGCCGGTTACGGGTTGAGGCTTACCGGGTTTAACGGGTTCGGGTTCATCCGGGTAAAAATTAAACCGTAAGGGTTACGGGTTGAGGGGGCCGGGCCGGGCCGNGTTAACGGGTTCGAGGGTACGTTACGGGTTACGGGTTACGGGTTCGAGTACCGGGTAAAAGTTAAACCGGTAAGGGTTACGGGTCGTAGGGGTACCGGGTCGGGACCGGTTTAGTGTATTTTTTAATTTTTTTTTTGTATTTTGTATAACTATTGTAAGTTATATTAATACAAAGTATTAAGATAAAGAATACAAGGAAGATGGGAAAAATTGCACTTATAAATTGCAAGTGCTACATTTATTTCAAAATTCAAACTTACAAATTGAAAGGTTTACATTTAACAACAAGTAAATTAACCAAAAAAGAGTAAATTCAAAGGCTTTGCATTGCCTTAGTAAGTTCTTCATAATCAATATGAACCGAGTGACCTGCTTCTGGAGTGTTAAATTCGGATGGGTTACCATGTGTTAATATATCTCCAAGTTCCTCGCCTTCTGGGCTATCAACATCTTCACGTCCTTGATTTCTTTGTTCCGATCTAATGCAATCTCTGAAACATACTAAAACTTCCAAAGCATTGCTTCCCAATGAGTGACGGGTGTCTCCAAGTTGTTGTCTTGCTTGGCTAAATGCACTCTCGGATGCAACAGTTGAAATTGGCACACTCAGCACGTCCCGAGCCATAGCGAAAAGAACAGGAAATTGCTTTCCATTCTCGGGCCACCATTGTGAGCACGTGATTTTTGCCCTAACCAAATTATTCCAAAAGTTTCAAATAATTGATTTCTTTATTATTTTACAATTTTTGTGAATTTTTGTTAAATTTTTGTGTTAATTGGTGGCATTTTTTTTAATTTATATGAAAATACAAAAAAATATGCACTTGCATTTAAGGATTTAATTTCACAATTTTAGGTATTAATTAGTTTTAGAACAAAATTTAAAGAAAATTGCAAAAAAAAAAAATAGTTTCTCTGCATTTTTAATTGTTAATTGTTGCGTTTATCTTTAAATAGGGTTTTTTTAAATAATTTTAGGAGTTAAATAGTTTAATTAGGTCCTTGTTTTGTTTTAGCATTTTATAAAACCAAAAAAATGAACAAATACTAAAATACAAAAAAATATATATATATATAAAAAAAAATATAAATAAATAAATAAATAATACAAAAGCAAAATCAAAAGGAAATTGAGTCCTTAATAGAAGATCCAAATTTGGGCTAAATTCATCCCTAGCCCAAATCAAAGCCCCAAAATCCGTCCAAACCACCCCTGTACCCAGCCCAAACCCGCATCCTAACCCGGTCCAATTCCTTTTGTAACAAAACGACGTCGTTTTTGTTAAAATTAATCCTGGCCGTCGAGGATCTTTAATCCAACGGTTGGGAAGTGGTTTAATCTTGATATATATATGTCCAAACCCCACCCCACCCCCCTATCCGGTCATCTCTCTCACACCCCTATATACACCACCACTCCGCCTCCGTTCTCCGCCGTCCGCCGCCGGCCGGAAATCGTCTCCGCCGGCGGCCAACTTCCAATCACCCCCCAAATTTCACCATAGCCTCGTCTCCGTCTCCCCACTCCGAATCCACCATTGTTTTCTTCCAAATCCCAACCAAACGCTCCAAATCTGCAAAACCCTAGCCGCCGTCGGCGAACGCCGGTCATTCCAATGGCCACCAGAAAAACACCATAGATGCTCCTTCTTCTCCTTTTTCCAACCCCCATGGTCATTTCCCTCGAATCTTCCCCCATCTCGTCGAATAATCGATTGAATATTTCCGGCCAAAACACAAAGTATGCCACACAGTCCCAAATTAACACCCTGTGACCGCCTGAGCCTCCTCTACCTAATCCCCATACCCGTTTGTCTCGAATCTGCCTGGGTTTGCTCGAATCTTCATTTAAATTTTTCCGGCCAAAAACCCTAATTCAAAATCTTTGTGATTTCGGACCGTAATATCCATGACCAGGTGTTTTCTTATGAAAACACATGATTAGGGATATTACGTGTCAGGAATTTTGGAAGATTCAAACATTAATGGCTGGCCGGAGCTTTTATCAGTAAGTT